GACGACTACACGCGCTACACCACGGTGTTTCCCCTGGAGCGGAAGGCCGACGTGCCCGACGTTCTTCTCCCGTGGGTTGTAGCTGCGCGTCTCCACCGCGGTCTCCCCGTGTTGTGTCTCCACTCCGACCGTGGCGGCGAGTTCGCCTCTGGTCGGCTTGGACAGTTCTGTCGTGCGGAGGGCATCACCCAGTCGTACACGTTGCCGGACTCGCCACAGCAGAATGGGGTTGCTGAGCGCCGCATCGGCTTGGTCATGGAGGTCGCCCGTACCTCCATGATCCATGCCGATGCCCCCCATTTTCTGTGGCCGTTCGCTGTTCGCTACGCGGCTCACCAGCTTAACCTGTGGCCACGCTCCCAGCGGCCGCAGGTTTCGCCGACCCTCCTTTGGACCGGGTCCCCCGGTGACGCGTCTGCGTTCCACGTCTGGGGCTGCCTTGCTCACGTTCGTGCCTCTGGCACGGACAAGCTCACTGCCCGCACTGTCCCCTGTGTCTTCCTCGGTTTCCCCCTGGACTCGTCTGACTGGCTTTTCTACCACCCGCCGTCTCACCGCTTCCTCCACTCTCGTGACGTCACCTTTGACGAGTCCGTCTCCTTCTACCGCCGCTTCCCTCACCGAGGTCTCCCAGTTGCCCCCCCCCTTTTCCTTGCTCCCTCTCCCCCGGTAGCCCCTGCCCCTCTCCCGCCTCGTCCTGCCCCGTCTGGTGTCTCCCACGTCACTCCCCTCCCGTCGGTTGTCCCCGTTGAGGAGTCTGCTGACTCTGGTGGTACCCCCGGTCCGTCCTTGCCACGTCCCCCTTCCCCAGTGCCTCCGCCCCCACTGTCGCAGTCGCCGACCCCGCTGCCGCCGCCGTCGCCGTCGCCGCCGCAGCCGTCGCCGCTGTCGCCGCCACTGCCGCCGCTGCTCTCGGCCCCTGGGGGTGCTGGTGTGGAGGAGGGTGTTCGTCCTGCGGCTTCTGGGGGTGCCGCTGGTGTTGGAGGGGGTTCTCACTCTTGGGGTGTTGGTTCTGGGGGTGCTGCTGTTGAGTGTTCTGCCGACGGTCGTTCTGCCTCTGCTGGTCCGAGAGTTCCGGCCCAGCCGTCGTCGCCGCCACAGCAGCCGTCGCCGCCGGTTTCCGCTCTCCGCCTGCTCGGCCTTCCCTCCCCGGACCGCGCGCCAGTGTCTCCCCCACCGCCTCCTGACCTCCCTGTCTACGGTCCTGTGTTCCCGCCGCCAGACTCGTCTCCGGCCCGTCTTCCTCCTCGTTCCCCTCCTGTGTCTCCTCCGCTGTCCCCTGACCCTACCCCTCCGTCTCACGTTTGGGCTCGCCGTCCCTCCCGTGCTCGTCCCGTCTCTCCTGTCCTGCCCACCCACCCTATGTTGCTCCGTTCCCACTCGTCTCGTCCTCCCCTCCTCCCGTCCCCTCCTCCCTCGTCCCTTGCTGTTGCACCTCCTCCGTTCTCTGACTACCTCCGTGCTGCTCGTCCCCTTGTCCCTCGGGTCCTTGCCTCTCTTGTTACCGACCCTGCTGTTCCTGTCTCGCGCCTTGACGCGCTTGTCGCTGCTGTCGCTGACTTCGCTTCTACCCGCCGCCTTGACTACGCTACCGCTCTGGTCTCTGACCCTGCCCGTCCTCTGTCCGTCGGGGGTGCTCCTGCCCTTGGCAGTGACGTCCTAGAGGACAGGCAGTACGAGCTGGCTTTCCTTTCCGAGGCTGCTCCCCATCTCTGCTCCATGCTGTTAGTCCCTGAGGGTGACCCAGACGCCTTCGACATCCCGACCCCTCGCACCTACGCTGAGGCCACCTCGGGACCTTGGGCCTCTCAGTGGATAGCTGCCATGGAGCAGGAGATGGCATCTTGGAGATCCACCGGCACTTACGTCGACGCAGTTCCCCCGCCTGGGGTGAACGTAGTCGATGGTCGGTGGCTCTTCAAGGTGAAGCGCCCCCCTGGAGAGCCGCCTGTCTTCAAGGCGCGCTACGTGGCCAGAGGTTTCAGTCAGCGCGAGGGGGTTGACTTCTTCCAGACCTTCGCCCCGACCCCGAAGATGACCACTCTTCGGGCGCTGCTACACGTAGCAGCACAGCGTGACTACGAGCTTCACTCCCTCGACTTCTCTACTGCCTTTCTTCAGGGCAGCCTACACGAGCAGGTCTACCTGCGCCGACCACAGGGCTTCACTGGTACCTTCCCTCCTGGGACCCAGTGGCTTCTCAGGCGCCCGGTCTACGGCCTGCGTCAGGCTCCCCGCGAGTGGCACGACACGCTACGTGCCACGTTAGCAGACCTGCAGTTCTTTCCGTCCTCTGCTGACCCTTCACTGTTTGTGCGTTCCGGCCAGACTCCGTTCTACATCCTTGTCTACGTAGACGACCTGGTCTTCGCTACTCCTGACAGGGACGCACTGGCCTCTGTGAAGGCTGAGCTGCTGAAGAGACACACCTGCACTGACCTTGGAGAGCTGCGTCGCTATCTTGGCCTGCAGATCTCTAGGGACAGAGCAGCACGCACCATCACTCTGACCCAGTCACACTTGGTGCGTCAGGTCCTTCAGAGGTTCGGTCTTCAGTTCTCCTCCGCACAGCCCACACCTCTACCCGTAGACCATGGGCTCTCTGCTCCCGTTCCTGAGGAGCCAGTAGAGCCCAGTGGCCCCTACGCAGAGCTGGTGGGTTGCCTCATGTACCTGATGACTTGCACTCGCCCAGATCTCGCATACCCTCTCAGCATCCTGGCTCGCTTTGTGGCTACAGGCAGACACCGACCTCAGCACTGGTCTGCCGCTAAGAGGGTTTTGCGTTATCTTGCTAGTACATCAGGCATGGGGTTAGTGCTAGGAGGACGCAGGCCAGTGGTCCTTACTGGGCACACAGACGCTTCTTGGGCAGACGACGCTGAGACGCTCAGGTCGTCGCAGGGCTACTGTTTCAGCCTTGGTTCGGGTGCTATCTCTTGGAGATCCACTCGCTCGTCGTCTGTGGCTCAGTCTAGCTGTGAGGCTGAGATCTACGCTGGTGCCATGGCGGCACAGGAGCTCCGCTGGCTGACCTTCTTGCTCACAGACTTAGGTGAGCGGCCTAGCTCTGCCCCGGTCCTGTACGCTGACAACAGGGCCATGATACTCCTGTGTCAGGAGCCTCGGCTTGAGGGCAGAGCGAAGCATATCCAGCTGCGGTACTTCCTCCTGCGCGAGCTACAGCAGCGCCGCCAGGCCCGCGTAGTTCACTTGGCCTCAGGTGCCAACACAGCTGATATCTTTACTAAGGCGCTTGCGCCTAAAGATCATCAGCGGCACTGTGTACAGCTTGGTCTTGTTCCTATAGCTGCTCCCCTGTTAGGATCCTGATTGTGTACTCTCTATTATATATGCTTGTCAGACTGGCCTTGTGGCCTTACCTCCAGTGGCTGGACTAGTAGTGCCACCCTGGCTTGCTTCAGTTTTGGTTGTATTCTTGCTGACTGGTCTCCAGACCCCTGCCTCAGTGGTTGGACTAGTAGTGCCGCCCTGAGCTGTTTGCTTCTTGTTTAGTTTCACCCCTTGTCTAGCCTAGGGGGTGTGTCAACTTATACATATTATCTATGTAGAAGTTATAGGCTAGACTGAGGTATGCTTCTAGTGAGTACAACCAACTAGTATTTGTTCTAGGTTTCCACCTCTAGTAATCATTCGTTTCTACGTTAACACCTAGCACCCCCATTCCAGCCACAGTGACAGCGACTCTAGGTCGGTCGACCCACGGTGCGTGAGGCGGCGACGTCGACCGCAGGGGCTGCGGCGGCGACGGCAGCAGCGGCGGCAGTGTCGACAGCGGCGGCGGCGGCGGCGTGCGGCTGCGTGGCCCCGACGCAAGCGGCGACAGCGGCGGCGGCGGCGGCTTCGACAACAGCGGCAGCGGCGGCGGCACCCGCACCTCTCGGTGACGTGGCCAGGCCCCGCGACGGTGGGACGGCCGGCGGGAGTCAGCCGTCGTCTGCGGAATGGAAGAGGGCACAGGGGAAGGAGGGGGGTGGGGGGGGGGGGGGGCGCCACAGGCTGACATGCGGGCGGCCGGTCTAGCGGCGCCACAAGCGTCACGCGGCCGGCTGCAGCCCGACGACGCCATCATGGAGCGGCGTCGATGCCGCAGCGGGGCGTCGACGTTGCGACGGCAGCACGACGTCGCCGTTACGCCGACCGCGCGCTGTCGCGTAGACGCCGCGGCAGCGTGACGGCGCCGTCACGTCGCGACAGCATCTTGACGCGACGGCGGAGCTGCGGCACGACGGCACGGCCACAGCAGCTGGACGCGGGCGCCATGGACGTCGACGGCGGCGCCGCGGTACGACGACGCGGCCACAGCAGCTTGACGCGGCCACCAAGGCAGCGCGAGATAGAGAGAGAAACGAGCACGCAGCGGAAACGCGAGGAGCAGAGCAGGCCCACACGGAACGAACTGCTCTGATACCATGTCAAAAGACTAGCTTAGCTAGGAAGCCATAGAATGGCACAAGGTAGGAGGAGCCATGAGAATTGCGAGAGGTTTTAGGTGCTAGGAAAGTTGAGGAGAGAAAAGAGAGTTGGATTAGAAGAGAGGGGAGTACAAGGAGGGGTTTGTACCCCCTACAGAAAGGTTCAGTAACAACCTACCAAGCCTATATTAAATTATAACTTATATAATTTGAACAGAGCCTGGAGGGCTATGGGCGCACTTACCCGCTATTCAACAAGCCCTTTTAACCCAGTGGTTAGTGACTGGGTTTCTGACATGGTATCAGAGCCAAAGGTCTTGGGTTCAACTCCCAGTGCCAGCGCTGCAGAGGCGCTTGTGTCTTCCACCTATCCCAGCGGGGGGGGGGGGTGTTGAGTGACCCGCTGGGGTTGACCTTGAGATCCTCGGGGAAGGGCCACAGGTGCAGAGCCTGGGGGGCTATGGGCGCACTTACCCGCTATTCAACAAGCCCTTTTAACCCAGTGGTTAGTGACTGGGTTTCTGACAGTCTTGCCCTACCCACCGTAGGACATCTTGCTACACCCTGCATAATGCTGACAACTCATCGATAAAATTCAGTGGTTACAAAAAACAACGTATCTAGCCTTGCCATACTGGCATGAGATGAGAACCAACGTGACCTGCTGGTTACCTAGGGGGTGCTTGCTTGCAACCTACCAATACCATACGGTACCATCAGGGCCCCAGCCCGGCACATACCTAGCACCATCCTGCCCGAAAGCATCAGGTGCCACTGTGGCCTCCATGCTCCTGAGATGCAGCCCGAGAGGAGCATTATTCAGGTGCCACTGCTACGGCCTGCATATTCATTGGAGCACGACAGCTACATAACCCAGAGTGTCAGGATTCCTTCAGGTGGCACTGGCGCGTCAATGCTCCTGGGAGGAGGAGGAGGGCGCTGAGAGGTGCATGCCACTGTGGTGCACGGCGGACATCACGAGCATGTGGTTGAGCATCGCCAGCTCCTCCTCCAACGTGCGCCCCTGCTCCCTCACCCCCTCCATGAACGCCCGGTCCACCTCCTCCGCACTCTCCACCGCGCCCACCACCCCGCTCCCACCCCCTCCTCCACCTTGTTTCTTCTTCCCTGGGGCTTCTCCCGGCGGCCCTGCTGCTCCACCTGCTCCTGTTCCTCCCCCGTTTGGCCCTGCGTCAAACCCGTCTCCTTGCCCTAACGTCCCATAATCCTCTCCCTCCTCATGAATTACCCCGCCACCACCGCCACCACCACCAGCCCCTGCATCCCCCTGCCCCTTGCGGCCCCTGCTGCTGCCCCTGCCCCCCTCCTTCATTCCGAAGAACTCACGTTTGAGGGAGGAGAGGGAGGAGATGAGGTCGCTCATGCACGGGCGCGAGGCGGTGGGCACACGCGTGCATGCCATGGCCAGCTCTGCCAGGGCTTTCGTGAGGGATATCTGCTTCTCCCTGCTGAGGCTGGCTGGTGGCTGTGACTGCAGCGAGGGGTCTAGTAGCGGGGTGAGATTGTTCGCAGCCAGGAGAGGGGCGGCCTGGGGAAACACCGAGAAGGGGAGGGAAGGATGGATGGCAGGGAAATGGGGGAAGGGTGTGGGGTGGGAGGCAGTGGAGTAAGACGACAGAAGGGGTGAAACAGAGTGAGGAGAGGGGCAAGGACGGTGAGGGGGAATGCAGCGTTTAGAGAGGGGCAAGGATGGCAGGGAGAGCTCAGACAAGCCAGTGCTAGCCACAAGCAGGCTGCAATTCCATGCATGCACACACGCTCGCGTGCACAACCACGGAAACGAAACGGCCAAGAACACACAGGCTCAACCGTGCACGAGTGTGCGTCTCACCCAGTCCTTGATGTTGACGCACTCCGTGCCCACCAGCACCACTGGCCCCCTCCCCAGCACCAGCTCCAACATCACCACGCCATAGCTGGTGTGCCACAGGGGGGAGGGGGGTGAGGGTGGGAATCTTAGGGGGCAAGGGAAGAGAGAGAGAGCAAGTAGAACGCGACCTGCAAGAGGATTCCGGGCAGTCAAGGGAGCGATGGCAAGAGGAGGAACAAGGGCAAACGGGGCCAAAGGGAGCCAAAGGGAGCGGACCTCAGGTCAGTATCAGAGTAACAAGGGCAGTGGTGTACCTGTATACATCTAGAGACGGTGTGGCCTTGTGTGTTTTGTAGTAAACAGGATCCACATATCCTGGCGTGCCCATCACACGTGTTGACCCCCATGCCGCACCACTGCTGCCACTGCTGCCGCTGGTGGTGGTGGTGGTGGTGGGGGTGGGGTTGCTGCGTCCCTCTCCCATGCGCAAGAGACCAAAGTCGGACACCATAGCCTGCAAACCAGTATGTGCAGGGAGGTGGGGCGAGGGCGAACAAAGACAGGGGGGGGATTGTGGCAGTTGGCCAGTGGTAACACTGGAAGCTGGGTGGGAGCACATGGGCATGGTGGGGGCTGGCCATAGCAGGCGGTGGACAGTGGACGGTGGACTGTGGACGGTGGACGGTGGGAACCGGTGGACTGTAGACGGTGGACGGTGGACGGTAGACGGCGTCCACAGGTGGACGGTGGACGGTGGACGGCGTCCACCAGTGGAAGTTGGACGGTGGACGGTGGACGGTGGACGGTGGACGGCGTCCACAGGTGGACGGTGGGCGGTGGACGGTGGACGGCGTTCACCGGTGGACGGTGGACGGTGGACGGCGTCCACTGGTGGGCGGTGGACGGTGGACGGTGGATGACGTCTACCGGTGGGCAGTGGATGGTGGACGGTGGAAGGTGGATGGTGGACGGTGGACGGCGTCCACCAGTGCATGGTAGACGGTAGACAGTGGATGGTGGACGGCGTCCACCGGTGGACCGTTGACGTTGGATGATGGACGGCGTCCACCAGTGGACGTTGGACAGAGGACGGAGGGCGGTGGACGGCGTCCACCGGTGGACGGTTGACGATGGACGGTGGACGGTGGACGGCGCCCACAGGTGAATGGTGGGCGGTGGACGATGGACGGCGTCCACTGGTGGATGGTGGTCGGTGGACGGTGGACGACGTCAACCGGTGGGCAATGGTCGGTGGGCGGTGGACGGCGTACACCAGTGGACAGTGGACTGTGGACACCGTCCACGTGGACGGTGGACGGTAGACGGTGAACGGCGTCCAAAGGTGGACGGTGGACGGCGTCCACCGGTGGGCGGTTGACTGTGGACGGTGGACGGTGGACGGCGTCCACCGGTGGAGGGTGGACGGTGGATGGTGTCCCCCGGTGGGCGGTGGTTGGTGGACGGTGGACGGTGGATGGCGTCCACTGGTGGATGGTGGACGGCGGACGGTGGACGGTGGACGACATCCACCGGTGGGCGGTGGACGATGGACAGTGGAGAGCATCCACTCGTGGACGGTGGACGGTAGACTGTGGACGGCGTCCACCGGTGGGCGGTGGACGGTGGAGGGTTGATGGCGTCCACCAGTGGATAGTGGACGGTGGACAGCGTCCACCGGTTGACGGTGGACGGTAGACGGTGGACGTCGTCCACTGGTGGATATGGATGGTGGACGGTGGACGGTGGGCGGTGGGCGGTGGACAGTGGACAGCGTCCACCGGTGGATACGGTGGACGGCGTCCACACGTGGTCGGTGGACGGTGGACGGTGGACGGTGGAAGGTGTACGGCGTCCACCAGTGGGCGGTGGACGGTGGACGGTGACCACACGTGGACGGTGGGCGGTGGACGGTGGGCAGCGTCCACTGGTGGATGGTGGACGGTGGACGGTAGACGGTGGACGACGTCCACCGATGGTCGGTGGACGGTGGACGGTGGACGGTGGTCGGTGGACGGTGGTCAGTGGACGGTGGTCGGTGGACGATGGTCGGTGGACGGTGGACGGTGGATGGTGGACAGAGTCCATCGGTGGACGGTGGACGGTGGACGGCGTCCACCGGTGGGCGGTGGTCGGTGGACGGTGGACGGCGTCCACGGTGGACGGCAAATGGTGGACGGTGGACGGCGGCTACCGGTGGACGGTGGACGATGGACGGCGTCCGCCGGTGGACGGTGGACGGTGGACGGCGTCCGCCGGTGGACGGTGGACGGCGTCCGCCAGTGGACGGTGGACGTTGTCAACCGGTGGACCGTGGACCGTGGACGGTGGACTGTGGACGGCCGACATGGGAGGTAACATGAGACGAGTCAGAAAGCAGCATGAGGGGAACAACTGTGGGGTGGGAGGAAAGGATATTCCACTCACTGGCAGCACCTAGAGGCAAGCTCGCCAGCACCTAGAGCGTAGAGGCAAGCAAACCAACACCAACAGTCAAGCTCGCCAACACCAAGAGTAAGACTCGTCAGCACCTATTGTCAAGCTCACCTCAGCTTCACCCACTGACCCATTCACCCACTCACCCATTCACCCACTGACCCATTCACCCACTCACCCATTCACCCACTCACCCATTCACCCACTCACCCATTCACCCACTCACCCATTCACCCACTCACCCATTCACCCACTCACCCATTCACCCACTCACCCATTCACCCACTCACCCATTCACCCACTCACCCATTCACCCACTCACCCATTCACCCACTCACCCATTCACCCACTCACCCATTCACCCATTCACCCACGCACCCATTCACCCACTAACCCATTCACCCACTCACCCATTCTCCCACTCACCCATTCACCCACTCACCCATTCACCCACTCACCCATTCACCCACTCACCCATTCTCCCACTCACCCATTCACCCACTCACCCATTCACCCACTCACCCATTCACCCACTCACCCATTCACCCACTCACCCATTCACCCACTCACCCATTCACCCATTCACCCACGCACCCATTCACCCACTAACCCATTCACCCACTCACCCATTCACCCACTCACCCATTCACCCACTCACCCATTCACCCACTCACCCATTCTCCCACTCACCCATTCACCCACTCACCCATTCACCCACTCACCCATTCACCCACTCACCCATTCTCCCACTCACCCATTCTCCCACTCACCCATTCACCCACTCACCCATTAAGCTCGCTAGTAGCCAAGCTCGCCGGCACCTACAGCATAGAGGCAAGCTCGCCAGAACCTATTGTCAAGCCCATGAGCAAGGGTCTGGACAAACCTGCATGTTGGCGTCCAGCAGGATGCTGGGTGGAGAGGGGGCGGGGGGGGGGGAGAGGAGGAAGAGAGAGCCCACCTGCATGTTGCTGTCCAGCAGGATGTTGGCTGGCTTGATGTCGCGATGCACAATGCCAAAGCTGTGCAGGTACTCCAGGCCCTTGGCAGCTCCGATCAAAATGTCCAGTCGCTGCTGCAGGGTCAAAGGAGGATCTGATAGTCGTAAAGGGAAAATAAGGGCAATCAAGGCATACATGATTGTTAAAATAACTTGTGGAAGCCTCTGGGGCAAGGAGCCAACATGCACCTGCCTGCCTGCCTCCTCCAATGCAGTGATGCGAGTATCCAGAAGAAACCCAGCCTGCCGTGAGTGCTACCCACTCGCCTTCCCACGTTGCTTGGAGCACTCTCACCCACCTGTCTTGATCCTCTTAGCAAGGTCCCCCTGCGCCATGAACTCGTACACGAGGATCTGCTGGGGCAGCTGCGAGGCCGTGTCCACATCACTGCAGAAGCCCAGCAGCCGCACCAGGTTGGGGTGGTGCTTCGATGCCATCTGATCCACCTGAAAGTAGTGGTGTCGTGGCGATCGAGAGAACGGCGAGAGAGGTAGGGACCGAGAGTGGGGACACGAAAGAGAGGAGTGGTGTTGTTGACATGACACACGAGGCATTGCTAGGAGAAAGCATTGGAGAATGCATTCATGCAGGATGAGAGGAGCAGAAGCTGGTGGTGTGGATGCCAAATGATGGCCTTGCAAGAAGGATGGGGGGACAGTGGAGCGGACCAGAAATGGGGTGATGACTATTTTTGAGGCGCCTCAAAAATAGACTCCTCATGCATGGACCAGAAATGGGGTGACGACGATCCTTCCTAAGCCTAACTCAACATCCCAGCATGTGCATCCCTCCCTCCCGCCTCACCTCTCTCCTGAAGTCTGCGCTGATGATCCGTGCGCGCTTCACCGCCCACACCACATCGGCATTCCCAGGGCACACAGCACGGTACACGTCGCCAAACGCCCCGCTGCCAATCTTGCAGTCAGTGGACCAGCAACCGGTGGCAGCTTCCAGCTCGCGCAGGGCGAACTGGTGGAAGAGAGGCGGGGCGTCTGTGGACCCCATGGGCGTCACCGGCTGGTATGGCCCTGTGCAGTGGCCCTTGCTGCTGCTGCCGCCGCCGCCGCCGCCGCTGCTTGTGGTGCCGAGGGACGGCTTGGCTGCTGCCGCTTCCCCTCCTCCTGCTCCTGGTTTGGGTGTGAAATGGTGGTGAAGAGGGGGGGGGGGGGAGGTAGTTGTTCTACTAACCAACAGACTTAATGGAAATAAGGCCTCTGCAGCCCACTTATAATCCATCTACGACTCCTCCTCCAGCTCGTGGTTTGGGTGTGAAATGGTGGTCATGGGGGGGGAGGGGGGAGGGGAGTGATGTGATAGAACAGAAAGTAGGAGAGAATGTTAATGAGGGAAGACGGATTGCTCAGACAGGAGTCGCCTTTGAACCTCTAGCGCGCACACACGCCCACATGGTCGTTGAGGTATGCTGATTCCCTTTAAAACCCACCGTAACCACTAGCCCTTCCACACCATTCCCAACATGTCACCATATCTGGCCATCCTGCTGCCATTCCACCCCCTCCCGTCCTCTTCTTCCCACCCCCTCCCGTCCAGCGGCGTACCTGCACTGGCCTGTGTGTCTAGAAACGGCTGGGCGGATGGATATGACTCTCCTGATGGCATGCATGGTGCATGAGAGGAGATTCGATGGGGGGAGCGAACGAGAAGCAGGCAGGATTTGGAAGCGGGCAGGGGAGGTGGGGCAGCGGAGACCAGCAGGAAAGGAAGCATCCATCTTATTAAAAAGGAACTGATGAGGAGGGGCAGCAGGGTTTGTAGGAAAAGTGAGGAACCTAGGGAAGAAAGGCCGGCCATTTTGGGCCACTGACCAGGGAATCTTGTGTATGAGCATTGACCCACGCGCGTACCAGATGAATGCTGCCGCTGCTTCTTCCTCTTCCACCAGCAAAAGCCAAGCACCAGCAGCACCACCACCACACACACTGCAGCAGCTGCTATCCCCGCCACCACTGCCACCGACACTCCACCACCACCACCACCACCACCACTGCTGCTGCCGCTGCCGATGTTGGGTGGAGGCACGGAAGGTGAGGGCGAGGGTGGGGAAGGAGGAGAGGGGAGGGGGAGAAGGGGAGGTGGAGAAGCAGAGGGCTCAGGAGGAGGAGAAATCGCGGGTACAGGAGGAGATAGTGTGATAAAGGGAGCTGGAGGGGGAAGAGAAGGTGGAGAGGGCGAAGGTGAGGAGGAGAGGGGAGGGGAGGCTGCTGTGGGTGGTGATGCTGGTGGTGGCGGGGGGAGGGATGCACGTGGCGGGGGGAATGCGGGTGCAGGGCGCGGGGAGCGAGCCGGGGGAGGTGGGCTTCCTGAAGGGCGAGTGGGGCAGGGAGGAGAAAGAATGGGGCGTGTGGAGGGAGGGGAAAGGTGGGGAAGAGGGGGGGAGAGGGGGGGAAGTGGGAAGGGAATACAGAGGGGGGGAAGAGATGTGTTGGGATGGGACTAGGAAGTAGAACACATGGGCATGGTGGAAGCGGCGGAATTTGCCTGGATTGAAAGAGGAAGGGGTGTGCTTCGAAGGGACGGCATGGCGGACAGGGTACAGGGATGTGAATCGCGATGAGGTTGTAGGAAGGGCCAGGGCGGCACCAGGAGAGGGCGTGCAGGAGGAGCAGAAGTCCGGGCACTCGAGGCAGAAGGCGGACATGGCTTCCTGCTTCAGCTGGCACGAGCCCGAGACGGGACAGGTTACCTTCGACTCAAAGAGCGACCTGCGCACGGATGAGCGGGGGATGAGCGGGGGATGAGCGGGGGATGAGCGGGGGGATGAGCGGGGATGAGCGGGGATGAGCGGGGGATGAGCGGGGGATGAGCGGGGGATGAGCGGGGGATGAGCGGGGGATGAGCGGGGGATGAGCGGGGGATGAGCGGGGATGAGCGGGGGATGAGCGGGGGATGAGAGCGGGGGATGAGCGGGGGATGAGCGGGGGATGAGAGCGGGGGATGAGCGGGGGATGAGCGGGGGATGAGCGGGGGATGAGAGCGGGGGATGAGCGGGGGATGAGCGGGGGATGAGCGGGGGATGAGCGGGGGGATGAGCGGGGGATGAGCGGGGATGAGCGGGGGATGAGCGGGGGATGAGAGCGGGGGATGAGCGGGGGATGAGCGGGGGATGAGAGCGGGGGATGAGCGGGGATGAGCGGGGGGATGAGCGGGGGATGAGCGGGGGATGAGCGGGGGATGAGCGGGGGATGAGCGGGGGATGAGCGGGGGGGATGAGCGGGGGATGAGCAGGGATGAGCGGGGGATGAGCGGGGGATGAGCGGGGGATGAGCGGGGGATGAGCGGGGGATGAGAGCGGGGGATGAGCGGGGGATGAGCGGGGGATGAGCGGGGGATGAGCGGGGGATGAGCGGGGGATGAGCGGGGGATGAGCGGGGGATGAGCGGGGGATGAGCGGGGGATGAGCGGGGGATGAGCGGGGGATGAGCGGGGGATGAGCGGGGGATGGAGCGGGGGATGAGCGGGGGATGAGCGGGGATGAGCGGGGGATGAGCGGGGGATGAGCGGGGGATGAGCGGGGGATGAGCGGGGGGATGAGCGGGGGGATGAGCGGGGGATGAGCGGGGGATGAGCGGGGGATGAGCGGGGGATGAGCGGGGATGAGAGCGGGGGATGAGCGGGGGATGAGCGGGGGATGAGAGCGGGGGATGAGCGGGGGATGAGCGGGGGAGGGGGGATGAGCGGGGGATGAGCGGGGGATGAGCGGGGATGAGCGGGGGATGAGCGGGGGATGAGCGGGGGGGGAATGAGCGGGTGAGGGGGGATGAGAGCGGGGGATGAGCGGGGGATGAGCGGGGATGAAGCGGGGGTGAGGGGGGATGAGCGGGGGATGAGGCGGGGGATGAGCGGGGGATGAGCGGGGGATGAGCGGGGGGATGAGCGGGGGATGAGCGGGGATGAGCGGGGGATGAGCGGGGGATGAGCGGGGGATGAGCGGGGATGAAGCGGGGGATGAGCGGGGGATGAGCCGGGGGATGAGCGGGGGATGAGGCGGGGGATGAGCGGGGGATGAGCGGGGGATGAGAGCGGGGGATGAGCGGGGGATGAGCGGGGGATGAGCGGGGGATGAGCGGGGGATGAGCGGGGGGATGAGCGGGGGAGAGCGGGATGAGCGGGGGGCGGGGGATGAGCGGGGGAATGAGCGGGGGATGAGCGGGGGAGAGCGGGGGATGAGCGGGGGATGAGCGGGGGATGAGCGGGGGATGAGAGCGGGGGATGAGCGGGGGATGAGCGGGGGATGAGGCGGGGGATGAGCGGGGATGAGCGGGGGATGAGCGGGGGATGAGCGGGGGATGAGCGGGGGATGAGCGGGGGATGAGCGGGGGATGAGCAAGGGGATGAGCGGGGGATGAGAGCGGGGGATGAGCGGGGGATGAGCGGGGGATGAGCGGGGGATGAGAGGGGGATGAGCGGGGGATGAGCGGGGGATGAGAGGGGGGGATGAGCGGGGGATGAGCGGGGGATGAGCGGGGGATGAGCGGGGGATGAGCGGGGGATGAGCGGGGGATGAGCGGGGGATGAGCGGGGGATGAGCGGGGGATGAGCGGGGGATGAGCGGGGATGAGCGGGGGATGAGCGGGGATGAGCGGGGATGAGCGGGGGATGAGCGGGGGATGAGAGCGGGGGATGAGCGGGGGATGAGCGGGGGATGAGAGCGGGGATGAGCGGGGGATGAGCGGGGGATGAGAGCGGGGGATGAGCGGGGGATGAGCGGGGGATGAGCGGGGGATGAGAGCGGGGGATGAGCGGGGGATGAGCGGGGGATGAGCGGGGATGAGCGGGGATGAGCGGGGGATGAGCGGGGGATGAGAGCGGGGATGAGCGGGGGATGAGCGGGGATGAGAGCGGGGGATGAGCGGGGGATGAGCGGGGATGAGCGGGGGATGAGCGGGGGATGAGCGGGGGATGAGCGGGGATGAGCGGGGGATGAGCGGGGGATGAGAGCGGGGGATGAGCAAGGGATGAGCGGGGGATGAGAGCGGGGATGAGCGGGGATGAGCGGGGGATGAGCGGGGGATGAGAGCGGGGATGAGCGGGGGATGAGCGGGGGATGAGCGGGGATGAGCGGGGGATGAGCGGGGGATGAGCGGGGGATGAGCGGGGGATGAGCGGGGGATGAGCGGGGATGAGCGGGGGATGAGCGGGGGATGAGAGCGGGGGATGAGCGGGGATGAGCGGGGGATGAGCGGGGGATGAGAGCGGGGGATGAGCAAGGGATGAGCGGGGGATGAGAGCGGGGGATGAGCGGGGGATGAGCGGGGGATGAGCGGGGGATGAGAGCGGGGATGAGCGGGGGATGAGCGGGGGATGAGCGGGGATGAGCGGGGGATGAGCGGGGGATGAGCGGGGATGAGCGGGATGAGCGGGGGATGAGCGGGGGATGAGCGGGGGATGAGCGGGGGATGAGCGGGGATGAGCGGGGATGAGCGGGGGATGAGAGCGGGGGATGAGCGGGGGATGAGCGGGGGATGAGAGCGGGGGATGAGCGGGGGATGAGCGGGGGATGAGCGGGGATGAGAGCGGGGATGAGCGGGGATGAGCGGGGGATGAGCGGGGATGAGCGGGGGATGAGCGGGGGATGAGCGGGGGATGAGCGGGGGATGAGCGGGGGATGAGCGGGGGATGAGCGGGGATGAGCGGGGATGAGAGCGGGGATGAGCGGGGGATGAGCGGGGATGAGAGCGGGGATGAGCGGGGATGAGCGGGGATGAGCGGGGATGAGAGCGGGGGATGAGCGGGGATGAGCGGGGGATGAGCGGGGGATGAGCGGGGATGAGCGGGGGATGAGCGGGGATGAGCGGGGGATGAGCGGGGATGAGCGGGGATGAGCGGGGGATGAGCGGGGGATGAGAGCGGGGGATGAGCGGGGGATGAGCGGGGATGAGAGCGGGGGATGAGCGGGGGATGAGCGGGGGATGAGCGGGGATGAGAGCGGGGGATGAGCGGGGGATGAGCGGGGGATGAGCGGGGGATGAGCGGGGGATGAGCGGGGGATGAGCGGGGGATGAGCGGGGGGATGAGCGGGGGATGAGCGGGGGATGAGAGCGGGGATGAGCGGGGATGAGCGGGGGATGAGAGCGGGGGATGAGCGGGGGATGAGCGGGGGATGAGCGGGGATGAGAGCGGGGGATGAGCGGGGGATGAGCGGGGGATGAGCGGGGGATGAGCGGGGGATGAGCGGGGGATGAGCGGGGGATGAGCGGGATGAGCGGGGGATGAGCGGGGGATGAGCGGGGATGAGCGGGGGATGAGCGGGGGATGAGCGGGGGATGAGCGGGGGATGAGCGGGGGATGAGCGGGGGATGAGCGGGGGATGAGAGCGGGGATGAGCGGGGGATGAGCGGGGATGAGCGGGGGATGAGAGCGGGGGATGAGCAAGGGATGAGCGGGGATGAGAGCGGGGATGAGCGGGGGATGAGCGGGGGATGAGCGGGGGATGAGAGCGGGGGATGAGCGGGGGATGAGCGGGGGATGAGCGGGGGATGAGCGGGGATGAGCGGGGGATGAGCGGGGGATGAGCGGGGATGAGCGGGGGATGAGCGGGGGATGAGCGGGGATGAGCGGGGGATGAGCGGGGGATGAGCGGGGATGAGCGGGGGATGAGAGCGGGGGATGAGCGGGGGATGAGCGGGATGAGAGCGGGGGATGAGCGGGGGATGAGCGGGGGATGAGCGGGGGATGAGAGCGGGGGATGAGCGGGGATGAGCGGGGATGAGCGGGGGATGAGCGGGGGATGAGCGGGGGATGAGCGGGGATGAGCGGGGATGAGCGGGGGATGAGCGGGGGATGAGCGGGGGATGAGCGGGGATGAGAGCGGGGGATGAGCGGGGATGAGCGGGGGATGAGAGCGGGGGATGAGCGGGGGATGAGCGGGGGATGAGCGGGGGATGAGAGCGGGGATGAGCGGGGGATGAGCGGGGATGAGCGGGGATGAGCGGGGGATGAGCGGGGGATGAGCGGGGATGAGCGGGGGATGAGCGGGGATGAGCGGGGGATGAGCGGGGGATGAGCGGGGATGAGAGCGGGGATGAGCGGGGATGAGCGGGGATGAGAGCGGGGATGAGCGGGGATGAGCGGGGATGAGCGGGGGATGAGAGCGGGGGATGAGCGGGGGATGAGCGGGGGATGAGCGGGGGATGAGCGGGGGATGAGCGGGGGATGAGCGGGGGATGAGCGGGGGATGAGCGGGGGATGAGCGGGGGATGAGAGCGGGGGATGAGCGGGGGATGAGCGGGGGATGAGAGCGGGGATGAGCGGGGGATGAGCGGGGGATGAGCGGGGGATGAGAGCGGGGGATGAGCGGGATGAGCGGGGATGAGCGGGGATGAGCGGGGGATGAGCGGGGGATGAGCGGGGATGAGCGGGGGATGAGCGGGGGATGAGCGGGGGATGAGCGGGGGATGAGCGGGGGATGAGAGGGGGGATGAGCGGGGGATGAGCGGGGGATGAGAGCGGGGGATGAGCGGGGGATGAGCGGGGATGAGCGGGGGATGAGAGCGGGGGATGAGCGGGATGAGCGGGGGATGAGCGGGGATGAGCGGGGGATGAGCGGGGGATGAGCGGGGGATGAGCGGGGATGAGCGGGGATGAGCGGGGGATGAGCGGGGGATGAGCGGGGGATGAGAGCGGGGGATGAGCGGGGGATGAGCGGGGGATGAGAGCGGGGATGAGCGGGGGATGAGCGGGGGATGAGCGGGGGATGAGAGCG